TATACAAGACCGGACCACTGGCGCACAATTCTTAGTTGACACTGGAGCGGAAATTAGCGTAGTACCTCCATTTAACGAGGAAAGAAAAAACATTAACCCGTCGTTAGTGCTAAGAGCAGCAAACAAATCAGATATTAAGACATATGGTAAACGGAAATTGTCCCTAGATTTTGGACGTGGCGCTTCATACCGTTGGAACTTTGTCATAGCAGACGTATCGATGCCCATAATAGGCATAGATTTCTTATGTAACTTTGACCTGCTAGTAGACTCTAGACGACACAGACTTATAAACGGCAGTCAAACCACTTCGATAAGAGGAATACTTACGGAAGCCGTTTCAATGAACCTTGTGATAGATAAAAGTTGTGGTGATCCATATAAATTGTTGTTAAGGGAGTTCCCTGAACTCGTAAAAGTAACATACAATAAAGCGGATCTCAAACATTCTATTCAGCATCACATCGTAACGAATGGTCCACCAATCAATGCAAGACCAAGAAGGTTAGATCCCAAAAGACTAGCCATCGCAAAACAGGAATTCGACAAGCTAATGAGGCTAGGCATTATAAGGCCATCGAACAGCCCGTGGGCATCCCCGCTACATATGGCCCCGAAAAAGAATGGAGAGGTTAGGCCATGTGGGGATTACAGAGCACTAAACAAACAAACGGTAGCTGACAGATATCCTATACCGCACATTCATGATTTCACCTACAGTATAGAAGGCACTACTATCTTCTCGAAGATCGACTTAGTCAGAGCATACTACCACATCCCTGTTGCCCCACAAGACATACCGAAGACAGCAGTAACAACCCCATTTGGGCTATATGAATTCCTGCGTATGCCTTTTGGACTGACTAACGCGGCACAAACCTTTCAGCGGTTTATCGACCAGGTCATTAGAGGTTTACCTGGGGTATACGCGTATATCGACGATTTATTAGTAGCTAGCACCACTAAGGATGAGCATATACAACAACTACGGCAATTATTTATGCGACTCAGAGAACACGGCATTTCTATAAATATTGAGAAGTGTGAATTCGGAAAAGAATCTTTACAGTTCCTAGGTCACAATATAACTTCTCAAGGCATCACACCAATAGCAACAGAAGTCGACGCCATTAGGAATTATCCCCTACCCGACTCATGGAAAAAGTTACGCCGATTTCTCGGGTTAATAAATTATTACAGACGATTTATCCCGAATTGCGCGTCAATATTGCAACCACTAACAGATGCATTACGCGGAAACGCACGGACATTCCAATTATCACCAGACGCGATCCAAGCATTCGAGAACGCTAAAAAAGCACTAAATAAAGAAGTGACACTAACTAGACGAAAGAGCGAAACACCGTTAGCTATCATGACGGATGCATCAGACGTAGCGGTAGGAGCCGTTTTACAACAATTAGTAAATGGCATATGGGAACCGCTCTCATTTTTTCGAAAAGACTGAATCCGACACAAACAAGATATAGTACTTTCGGAAGAGAACTCCTAGCGATTTACTTGGCAATAAAACATTTCCGACATATGATTGAGGGTACCATTTTCACAGTATATACAGACCATAAACCCCTCACAAAAGCATTGAACGCCAAACAGGACAACTACTCGCCGAGGGAAATCCGACAATTAGAATTTATTTCCCAATTCACGTCTAACATACAGTATGTCAAAGGCAATAGTAACGAAGTGGCAGACGCGCTATCCAGAACGATGGTCAACGCTCTCGTCCAGTCCGAAATCGATTATCACAAGTTAGCAGCATTACAAAATATCGACGTCGAGTTAAACAGACTAAAGTCTGCCAACACAACCTCGTTAGTTCTCAAAGAAACTCCATTGGAAGAAGTAAGCATCACCTGCGATATTTCTACAGGTCAACCAAGACCATTTATTCCAAAGCCGCTAAGGCGAAACATTTTCGAAGCCATGCACAATATTTCGCATCCCGGAATAAAGGCCACCATCAAACTAATCAGCGAACGTTTTGTATGGCCAAGTATGAATCGGGATATTCGTAATTGGACGCAAGCGTGTATAAAATGCCAGAGAGTTAAGATACATCGCCACACCAGTTCCGCAGTAGGTCATTTCCGTCATCCCGATAACAGATTCGAGCACGTACATATCGATATTATAGGACCACTGCCGGTTTCGAATGGTTTCAGTTACATTTTCACTTGCATTGATAGATTCACACGATGGCCTGTAGCTGTGCCCATAAAAGATATTACAGCCGAAACTATCGCAAAAACCCTAGTAGAGCATTGGATTTCCCATTATGGTGTACCTACTAATATCACAACCGATAGAGGAGCTCAATTCGAGAGCCGCCTCTTCCAACAACTCACAGAACTACTCGGAATCAAACGAATTCGCACAACATCCTACCATCCGATGTCGAATGGTATGGTAGAGAGATTGCATCGGCAACTTAAAGCTTCTCTTACAGCTGTCATCAGCAATAACGATTGGGCCAGCAAGCTACCGTTAGTCATGTTGAGCTTAAGATCAACAATCAAACAAGATATAGAATGCTGCCCAGCAGAATTGGTTTATGGAACCACACTACGTCTGCCAGGAGAGTTTTTCACTGCAGGTAAAAGCGATCCAACTGATATAGCGGACTATGTACAGCGTCTTAAGCAGCATATGAGTAGTCTAAGGATAACGCTTCCGAGACAACATCAACGCCGTGTGTACATACCCAAACAACTAAGTGACAGTACCCATGTGTTTATCAGAAGGGATAATGTGCAACGTCCCTTACAACCAGCCTACGATGGTCCATTTAAGGTGATTAAACGAGACGACAAAACTATCACGGTAGAAAAAGCTGGAAAAACGGATGTAATTAGCATCGACCGAGTCAAACCAGCTTTCATCGAAGCCTACGATCAGCCAGTACATACAGATACTGCGAAAACCGTTGAATCATCGAAGCGTCAGTTCCAATCATCAACGACATCGACGAACACAAGCAAAGAGAATCCAGTAACGACAAGGTCTGGCCGAAGAGTAAGATGGCCCCAACATTATGTCGCTGCAATCTTCTATTAATAATTTTCTACTATTTAAAATATTAATTATAACTTCCACTTCATTGTATACACATGCATTACTAATTTCATGTTATACGCTATAAAACTCAACATATCTTATGTACCCCTACACTTACACGTATAATTTTTATTTAAAATGTAAAGCAATACCGCATTCCTTCTATTTATTGCTATTATTTTATATAACCTCACGGACGGGCGCAAACCAAATGTACAGCACACACAAACCATTTTTTTTAAACGACTGTAACTACCCTACTCAGTTTACTATTTTTTTGTGCAAACACAGACATTTTTCCATATATCTTTGTTTGCAAGGGGGAGCTATTATAGTGACTCACGTGCAATCGAGTTTAGTTCAGTCAAGGCCTTTTGTTGACCTATTTAATGGACAAAATCATCCATGATATAACAACTTGTTGTACTATCTTTATTATTATGCTTGTATGAAATACATATGCTTGAACATTGTTTAGCGCCTACGCATGTATTCATTCTGCTAGCTTCATTATTAACTGCTTAGTCTATTCGCTGACTCATCCATTTTCCTATACATATATATATGTGTACATTTGCACGCATTAACTACTACAACAACTACTACTACAACTACTTGCTACTGCTACAATCGTAGTTCGCTTGCTCATTCATTTTGCCTCTCTGCTGTCTGGTCCGAATTATCTACTAAATAAACTGTAGTAGCTGCTTCTTTTTGCCTTCTGATTTCAAACATCGTTGAAGATTATACGATAACGGTTCGAGGGTGATTAATTATCGAAGCACAGCCACTACATTATGAATGGTCTGGGAATACAGTATTGATAATATTTTTTTCCTCAAAACTCAGAAAGACAGTGAAATGTTTAAAACACCTTCGAGCTAATCGGTATCTTGTGTAAACATTCTTATTAAGTGGGATACTTCATGTATTTTTCATCTTACTCAAACTGTGCATCTAAATGTCATCTGCGATTATTCATCAATTTCCACAAAATCCGTGTAGCAACAATAATCCTGTGCTCACTGGTGAGAAGTTATGACTGGTGAAGTCCAACCATGCTGATTTCGAGACAGTTATCCACGACAGGCAATAGAAGATAGTCATATACCATAAATCACTCTGGCCTCATATTGCACCATGTATCAATCAAGTGCATATTTTGTTTAATAAGCAAAGGAACTAAGATCATCAATACCATTTAACAATATTTAGGCTACACTACACTTATCCTCTTGAGAATACTTGTCATTTATAGTATAATGGATCATTGAAAGTATCGCCAAATATCTTTATGAACTTGCTTCTTCCTTTGTGAATGCTAAGCACCATTTCTATTGATGCCACCTCTATACTGGCTGTGTTCGCCTAAATTTATTGCTAGGAGTGGGATAATAGTACTTGGTCATCTACAAAGTCTAAGGTGTTCACTGTATTCCGTGCAACCCCAGATATATACCATATACCATAGTGAATCTGTTGAAGCTAGACAGGTGCACTGTTGGCTTCCGGCTCAGTTTCCTCTCATGTGAAAGTTTTCCAAGCTGCATGTGTAACTTTTAGTGATTAGTAGTGGATTTGATCTTATCTTGAAGTATAAACATGGTTGCACATATCACCTTACGTCAGTCCATAATGAAGATAGATAATCTTCAAATGATTTCCTTTTACTTAGTACCACTTAAATGTGAACCCTACCATGAAATTAGTTTCAATATGAAATTTATCCTCAGTCAAATTAATCAACATACTTTATTAGTTACACGACAGATAATAGTCCTACCTACCCCTGTTTAAACCGATATTGATTGGTGAATCGGCTTGGTTGAAGTGTTTATAATCAGTGTAACATTACTAAACATTGCTGAATACTGATTTGCAAAGTGTTATCTAATACGAACAATTTAAATTAAAATGAATTGTCAGTTGGAGATTTTATTTAATTGTAATGCACGAGTTTTACGTTTGGGACGTAATATAACGGGAAATCCAGATGGTGGTCCCATAACAGTTGCAGGATTTTCGACTGAACTGACCATTTGACTGTTTTGCGATGATGAATCTGAACGATTTTTGCATAGACCTGAAACGCAGTAACAACGCAATGGGACACACGGACGACCAGAACGTCTACAACTACACCGTGCTTGACATGTCCCTCGGCATTTACATCGACGTGTATGTGAATCTGCATTAGATTTTGACTGATTAATGGAAATAAAAATGAATTTATTTAATAACTATTTAACATCACTATGAATATGTACAAATATTGTTAAGTAAATACTTCGACATTAAACTGTAAAGTGAACTCACTCATTAATTGCCCACCCAGAACGCACTTTATATCACATCTCAATTCACGTTTCCATGTCAAGGAGTAAATGGTTGACAGTTATGATTCAACGTACAGGAAGTATGAAATAGCTCACGTCAGAACCATAAAGAGATAGAATATGTACGATATATGTATACCTGATTTCAATCAAAGAGACAATTCCGTTCTAAGAAAACAGTTTGGGCCTATCTTAGCTGATGTATTCATGTCATATGTGGGAAAATATGACGAGCGAGCTTATTAGTGCGGCAACTCTATATAGAAGATGCGTGGATGATATTCTAATTATATGTGATAAGGATTTCGATGTTTACCGATTATTGGATAAATTCAATGGTGTTCAAGATGATATTGTGATGACATATGAATCAGAAAGTAATGGCCAATTAGCCTTTTTAGACATACTTTTAAGTCGAAGGGACGATGGCACTATTAGACGGTCAGTGTGTAGGAAACCAATCTGGACGGGACAATACTTAAATTTCCATAGTTTCTGTCCATTGCAATACAAAAGAGGTCTGGTTAGGTGTCTCTTTAAGAGGACTTTATTATTTATTTATTTTAACACATAGATATTGGTACAAGGAGGCACCAAATACATATGCGCCACACAAATCTCATTCGATATGTGTGAGGGGTGTGATACTGCCCGGGTGCCCGAACCGAGGCAGGTAGTTCTCCTAAGGCGCCACACCTTGAGCCTTCGACCTGAATGTCTGATCCAGAAGGCACTGGAGCATCGTAAGGAGATGCAGTCCCATGGAAGCCCGTGACCAACAATTGGTTCATACGCCATCTGTTCCTTCAGGATACTGGAGCCCATGTGCACCATTGATTTGGAATCCGGTTAAAGTGCCGGACGTTCGCTTCTTGTCCTCTCATTTTCGTAAGCAACACCCCTGCCACGAGAAGGCAGTGAGTAGGACTTCTCTGGCAGAGGCTATATACGCGTGGCCATGTGAGAGCATTTTGAGAGGGAGAGCGGACTCTCCCCACTCTCGGCCGTACCAGGGCATTTAGAGGCTCATAGAATTTGTACCTCTGGCATGGTGAAAAAGATGAAAAGTTACTGACTGATACATTAATAGCAAAAGCGCAAAAGTCAGTTGATGCCAAGACCTCTAATTTATTCAGTTCCAAAGAAAAAAAGTTTATATCAATCTACCATATAGAAGCGAATCCAACAGCATAGTTTTAAGACAGAGATTGAAAGCAGCCATCGAGAATACCTATTATTACAATTTCTTATTCTTTCTCTCCTACTTTGTTACTCTTTCACTTGGACTTTCATTTAATTGACCTTTATTAATTTTCATATAAAAAAATGCCCTGACAAGTATATGTGTGACCGGATTGTTCGAATGTATAGAGCGAATACATCACATTTTTCAGATTAAATCCGTCTTCTCATTGTTCTATCGAAATTTATAATAAAGACTAATTGCTTTAGAATTCTCTTAGATAAACATTTCCATGACTCTTATGAAGAACTCAATAAAAAACTATAGTAGAAATGCTATTGGCTTCTATCATCGGCTAATTCAGGTAACGCCTTAGACCACCCTAAACAGATTTCTTTCTAGTTATGGCTCATATACTATTTGGTAGACTAACTACTAGTGTTGAACCTGACTCGTCTTGGTAATTGGTTGAAACTGAAGCAGAGGCTCATTTTAGTATACCGATCCGTTTAGGATGAGACATTGACTGGCCACCAAAGCACAAGATGAGCTTGGTGAGAATTAAACAACAACCAATAGAGATAGGCACTTTAGGAGTGTGCGTTTCGTACACAGATATGCCAGTGATAGCCGGTCGTGATGTAACCAATCTATGTTCAGGCTGGGATGACACCTCAAGGTAAAGACATCGACTAAAACGGTGCCGCAAGTTGGTGCTGATCAGGAAAGGGTTGAGTCAGTGCACAGCTGCAACTGGAGATTACTGTTATCTGACCTGATAATTAACAAGCCACCAATAGCAACCGAAGCGACTTTTATTTAACTAGAGACCCGTCCTGTGCATTTAAATCTCCGATCAACACTATAGTAACCATCAAATACGCTTTTTTGAGATCATCTAATTCGAAGTAAAACTCATCCTTAGTCACGTCCGGGCTGTAATCCGTTGTCACTTTCACAAAATCCTATTGGGAATCCATAATCGGTGAGAGCAGTGAAAATTTAGACCGGTCAGTAGTTTGAGTTTGTTTAGAAATTTTATCATAAGCAAGCTGCCATATGAGCTGGGAAATAAGAATTAACATTGAATGAGAAAAAGCACTTGAAATCATAAAGATCAGTTCTATGAGAGGCTGCAATCAATCATAGCGAAGCGCCTTAGAAAGGATCACACCATCCCGACAGTAGACCTAAACACCAAAGTCGGAATAGATAACACTGGATATGGAAATATCCTGGGACGAAATAGACTGGGAGAGAGAAACGAAACTTTTGAATTCAACAAAATGGTCATAAGCGGTACTATATTCATGCATAAACGCATACACAAAGCTACATGGGTCTCACCGGATCACACCACACAGAACCAGATTGACCATATTTGTATCAATAAAAAATTCACAATATCAATGGAAGACATAACATCAAGCAGAGAGGTTGATGTTATCAGATCACCACCTACTTGTAACCAAGAGAAAACTGAAGTTAACGAAATGCTTGACAACTGGAGAAGGACAATTACAAAGGTTCAATAGAGCCTTCCCTCGACATACTGACAAAATCAAACAATTCAACAAAGCTCTGGTTTAGTAGGATCAGACTACGATGGAGGATAACTGGAAACGGATCAAAGAAGCATTAACTTCAACGTGTCAGCTGGTTCTGGATCACAAGAAGTATCATCATAATCAATGGATCACTATTGAAACCCTGGACAAGATTCAAGAACGGAAGAACAAAAAGACAGAAATCAACAACAGCTGAACAAGGACAGAGACAGTGAAGGCACAAGCTGAATGCACAGAAACAAACAACCGATTGGAAATGAACATTAGGGCTGACAATCAGAAACACATAGAAGATCTGACAACTACAGCTTCAACATAAAGAAATATCGGACAACTATATGACAAAGTGAAGGAACTGGCACGGAAATGTAGTAAACCAGGGAGACCGTTTCAGGACAGAGAAGGCAACCCCATCACTGAAATTCAAGGACAGAGGAACAGATGGGTGGAACACTTCAAGGAACTCTTCAATAGGCCAGCTCCATTGAGCCGATTGGAGATCGAAGCAGCACACACAGACCTTCCTGTGGATGTCACTCCATCAACGACCGAACAAATCAAGAGTGGGAAAGCAGAAGGACCTGTAAATATACCGGCTGGGACGCATTGTAGTGTCATTGATACTTCGTTCCGTTCGCCGATTTCTAGGCGATGTCGTGATCTCTTCAAACACAAGTTTTAAAATTATGCTAATCGAATTTATTTGTGTAGTCGCATACTGGATAACGCTCCCCTTCAACAAGGCACATATGGTATAGGATTTTTGCATCGACTTAAGAACTTCACAAATGGATTCGAGTACTGGTGTTTCAGTAGAAAACTTATCATTCCAACTTACATTCTCCTCAGATTTTCGTTTCTCTGCATTCAGTTGAGATTCCAATTCACATATTTGAGTTTCTAAATTAATCTTAGAAACTTCAGATGACGATGCCTATGAAATAAATAAAAAGAGCAAGAATAAGCAAAATAAAGAACTGTTGACTAGTCAAATCAGATCACTACATTTTTATAGAGAATAAATAAGTGGAATTCATATCCTATTGGCATTACTTTGCGAAGCCTGTTTACAGAATCGACATTCTGCTGTAACTTACATCATTAAATTAATAAACCATATAGCACGGACGTATGTTGTTATATGTTTGCCCAGTGACTACTTATATTCAAATGTAGCTTGACAATTTGGACAGATTCATCAATTGGTCAGTCTGGTTAGAAAAGAATAAAAAGTACAACCTACTTGGATGCTATGTAGTTGGCATAAACGAGATGAGAGCATTTGACCAGTCGAATCAGGTGGACCGGAGGCATCTGTCGACGATATTTCACCGGCATCCATAAGTTTTTTTGCAAACCGTTAATCTCTTGTGTTTGACATTGAATCGATTCAGAGGGACTGATCACTTCTGAACCAGATCAACCCAACAGCCAATAGCTTCAGAAATCGTTTCCTCATCTCGATGTGGAGAGTTGGTATTCTTTCAGTCTATTACTCTACTCACCAACGTCTCGCCTAAAGGGAGTCAGTAGTCGGGCCTGCGTGATTATCGTGACCAATGGTTGGAAGAACAGGGTGATATGGTGTAAAGTTCAATACAGTGGCACAGATGCACTTACTACTTATCTTCCTTTCCATCTTTATTTTCAGTGTTCCTCCATATGTTCCTCCTTTGAGAATCATATGTCCAACATGTTGTCATTCATACTATCATTACCACTACTATGACATCAATTACTTAGCTATTTATCGACTTAATTTTGTCACAGTGTTGATTTAGTAGGAAAACGTGGACCAAAGCAAATCTGTATTTGAGTCTACATCGATTAAAACTAACTGAATTCATCAACTCCTAAAGATTAAATACTTGCTACGAGTTGAAGGTCTAAGATTTGATTCTTGAAAGTATAATATATGTACACTACTTAAAGATTACATACTAAGAAAAAACAGTTGTTCAGTTTGCTTATTGGTTTTCTAGATAAAAGCCAAATCATGTCAACTATCTCTACCTAGGTTTGTACCCATATTCTACAATATATCAATAGTACAAAAAAATCCTGGCTATCCAGATTAATATGATAGGCGATGAAGAGGAGAGTGAACATTACACATGTACTCACATTAATATCAGTCACTACCGTAAAAGGTAAACTGCATTCAGCTTCAACATTTTTAAATTCGTCATCCGTAGTAAACGGACTATTCTAAAGAAAAAAAGATGAACAAATAAAAATATCAATCAAGCAACTGAAATTATCCAAAATATTTAATGATACTGAGTATAAGTAAGTCCGCGTAGAGCTAGTCCCGGTCCTTTAGAACCACAGTTGACCGTAAGCTTAACGAATCTACCTTGTGAAAAATAAGTCTACTGAAAAGAACGCCAACCACAGAAAACTAATTAGACCTTCAGCTGTGACTTGATGAGTCTTCATATAGAAGATTTATAGTGTCGAATTAGGGAAGTCGAGATTTTTCGAAAGCCAAGATGCCGACGCTTTTTCTGACAACCGAAAACAATGACGAATAAATGAACGTGGAATGTTTGAACAATGTGAGAAACGGAAACAATCTGGCTGTATTTGGAAGAAGCGAAACCCATTGAATATAGTCTGGGTAGAAAAGACAAACTTTAAAAAAGGTGTTGTCTTATTATGGTCATGAAGCACACGATGCTTCCCACAAAGGGGTTACACCATTGTCAAAGCCAGGCAAAGTTTGCAACAGAGCGTAACTGAAACGAGCGAAGGATTCAGTAGTAACTCAACCTAGAGACCAGCGTGAAGACTTTTATAAGTATCGATTACGTACGGGCCGAATCGAGATAGTACAACTCAATGTTGAACAATCAATCGAATGGAACTCATCGCTGTACAGTAACTTCCTTGATTATGAGAAAGGATACGAAAGAGTGGATTTTTTCAAAAATATGGAGTGCCTGAGGAGATTTTCATTTTTATACGGAACTCATACGAAGTACTGAATTGCGAAATTGTGCAGGGAGGGTAGCTCACAGATGTATTTCAAGTGAAGACCAGTGTCAGACAAGACTGGTTACTCTCGTTTTTCTTCTTTTTTTCCAGCTGCTGACTGCACTATGAAGACCATAACATATCTGGGGATGCACGGAATACAGTGAACACCTTAGACTTTGTAGATGACCAATTACTATTATCCCACTCCTAGCAATAAATTTAGGCGAACACAGCCAGTATAGAGGTGGCATCAATAGAAATGGTGCTTAGCATTCACAAAGGAAGAAGCAAGTTCATAAAGATATTTGGCGATACTTTCAATGATCCATTATACTATAAATGACAAGTATTCTCAAGAGGATAAGTGTAGTGTAGCCTAAATATTGTTAAATGGTATTGATGATCTTAGTTCCTTTGCTTATTAAACAAAATATGCACTTGATTGATACATGGTGCAATATGAGGCCAGAGTGATTTATGGACGCTTATGCATATAACCCATAAAAAATGTGCTCAAGATGATATTAAAATAGCAACAACACTTAATATTACATAAAAAGCCGGAGCAACTGGTACAGTCGTTATTTTTACTTCAGAATTTATACCCGTGACAGGACAGCGCCATTACGATCAAATAATTCAATTCATGTGAAAATCCTTCAAAACAAGGCTGCATACTAAAAGTCAGTCAGTTACAACGTAGGACCAGGCACATACATGCATCGGTCCAAGTTGCCATATCTCATTAGCACAGCAAGACGAACACCTGATTCATAGAAGCAGTAAACTCAATGGTGTAATATATAAAGGAAAAATTTTATATAAGGATATAGTACTAAAACACAGAAATCCACTCAAGTTCATGTCTCCATTTTAATTTAAATTATTCGTATTAGTTAACACTTTGCAAATCAGTATTCAGCAATGTTTAGTAATGGTACACTGATTATAAACACTTCAACCAAGCCGATTCACCAATCAATATCGGTTTAAACAGGGGTAGGTAGGACTATTATCTGTCGTGTAACTAATAAAGTATGTTGATTAATTTGACTGAGGATAAATTTCATATTGAAACTAATTTCATGGTAGGGTTCACATTTAAGTGGTACTAAGTAAAGGGAAATGATTTGAAGATTATCTATCTTCATTATGGACTGACGTAAGGTGATATGTGCAACCATGTTTATACTTCAAGATAAGTTCAAATGCACTACTAATCACTAAAAGTTACACATGTGATAACAAATGAACATGCAGCTGTATTTCCAGACCATTCATAACTTTGACACTCGACCATAGCTGCTACCTTGACGCAGTGGTCGGGCTTGCCTATCGTGATGACCCAACCGAGCTATATTGGCTGGAACATATTTCATGTAGGTTCTACCATGACAGGCAGGTCGATTGGAGAACGGTAAGACTAAAAGCAGCAACTCAAGGTCGAAGGGCGAAGTCGTATTGCTGACTGTAGAGCGGTGTGACAGCAGTAAGTTGTTTCTCTCGGACAACCAGCATCTGCAGCGATGCGGCCTTCTCACAAAGGTCGACCTTAAAATGTCACACCTCACCTTACCTCATGGATTTCTGTCTCCGGTGGTTGGGCCATTTGAAGAACGGAGCTAACACGTCAAAAACCTCCCACAAAAAGGCCGTGCGCGACCGGCCTCAAGCAGTTGTCTCCTGGGCTCTGCGGTCACGCTCCCAGGTCGTTAAGGCCGGCATTAATCCGACTTCATTTTCAGGTCACATCGCTATCAACCACTGATGGACGGGCTCAGTCAGTCAGTCAGTAACAACGTAGAACTTCGTACGTACGTACATCAGTTCGAGTTGCCACACCACATTAGCACAGAGATGCACTTGTCGATTCAAATCCCGTAGTGGTAGAGGTAATAAGAGTATAAGCAGTAATCGGGAAGATTAGGGTTTGGAGATGTTATTTAAAGAGTATAATCCAGTGAAAGAAATTTGGAAAGAGGAAAAAAAGGGACATGAAGAATTCAGAAGATTAGAATTTGGGAGAACACAGAGAGTGGATGCACCTGCGCCATTGCAAACGATTTTGAGCCATGTCATTCAGGGTCTCTAACCAACGGTTGCTGTCATCTCGCGGTCCCCAACCAGGTAGTCTACACCTACCAACATGACTCAGTTCACTTGTCAGTGACTTCATGGACTTGTGCCATGTTTTGGTTTGGCCGCCCCTAGCTTTCTTCCAACCTACTCCTATACCACTGAACATAGCACGTCGAGGCAGTCGGTCGTTGGGCATACGTAACACGTGTCCCAGCCATCTCAACTGATGAAGTTTCACTACGTCATCAATTGATTTGCCATCCTTACCTAGTACCCGTTTCCTAACAACTGTGTTACTTACTCGATGGTCCCATGATATATGAGCAATGTTTCGAAGACACCTATGATCAAATATTAGTAACCTACGGATATCCTCTACTCTTACCGGCCATGTTTCACTCCCATAAAGTAGGACGGAACGAACTGCTGCGCAGTAAACACGTCCTTTGGTTGATAGACGGATATCTCGCCTACGCCATAAATGACGCAAGTTGGCAAAAGCTAATCGAGCCTTCTGTATCCGTGCTGAGATTTCGTCACACACTAAACCACAAGGGCTGATGAGACTTCCAAGATAAGTGAAGCGGTCGACACACTCAACTACTTCACTCCCTATCACTAGTTCGGGTGTCGATGTAACCCAATCCTGAAGCAACATTTTGCATTTCGAGGGAGCGAATCGCATCCCGAACATGCTTGCATTGTTGCTTAGAGTGGACGGGCTCGATAGAAGACTGTCGCTCATTCTGGAGCACATGCCTAGATTCAGATCATGCTCTAGGGCGAGCGCGTATTTGCCTGTGTCTGACTGGACGCAAGAAAGACGCTGCAAGGAAACCTCTTAGGGGCCTACTTAATGATAGTCAAACTAAGAGTATATTTCAGGAACAACTAGAAAAACAGTTAGGCAGCCATGTAGGTGATGCCCACCCCGAGGCAGCATGGAATGATATCCGAAAAGCTGTGGAAACAGCAGTGACATCTACTAGTACGGTAAACCGTAAGGTTAGGGAGAAACACTGGATCTCAGCAACATCAACCGCACTGATAAATGCTCGAAAACTCATACCATCTGGATCTCAACATGACGAAGAGCGGAGTCAGCTTAAGCACAAGCTGACAAGAAGTCTACGCAATGATCGCGAACACTGGTGGGTAGCGAAAGCAAGAGAGATGGAAAAGGCAGCGGCAATAGGTCATAGCAGACAATTGTTCAGACTCGTTAGGGAAACCGGTATTAGGAAACCGACTGTTAGCGAAACACTCTCAGAGAAAGATGGACAAATTATACATTCTCAATCCAGGAGATTGGATCGATGGACAGAACACTTCAGGGATCAGTTCAACTGGCCTTCAGCCACACTTCGGTTTCCCACGATCTCCAGTCAGCCTAAATGGCAAGTTAATGTAGGTCCTCCGACTCTTTATGAAGTTGAAGAAGCTATAGGAAATCTGAAGCGAGGGAGAGCAGCAGGCCCTGACAGGTTCAACCCTGAGATTTTTAAGTATGGTGGTCCAGTATTAGCAGTGAGATTAACTGAGGTCTTAGGTAGAATTTGGGAACTGGACGCAATCCCATCTGACTGGTCTCAATCACTGATTGTGCCAGTCTATAAGAAAGGACAAAAGTCCTATTGTGACAATCACAGAGGAATCAGTTTGACTAATATACTGTTTAAAATATTAGCTTCAATAATACTTCGACGCCTAACTAAAGCTCGTGAAAAGCAGACTAGAGAAAATAAGGCGATATGTGCAACCATGTTTATACTTCAAGATAAGTTCAAATGCACTACTAATCACTAAAAGTTACACATGTGATAACAAATGAACATGCAGCTTGGAAAACTTTCACATGAGAGGAAACTGACCAAATTAATATTCATTTAGGTAAACAGGGTTTGTAGAGATTATTAAGTTTGAAAGAATAGCATCACAGACTCAACTTAAACAACTATTGAAAATCGAAAGGCAGTAAACAGCTGTGTTTTCATGGTATGGGACACCTCAGTGGTACGTATTCGTGACCCGAAAAGAGGAGATCGAAACCAGGACCTTTGGTTGTACGCGCCAGCCCTTAAGATTTTGAACGCTGAGCCGGAAGCCAACAGTGCACCTGTCTAGCTTCAACAGATTCACTATGGTATATGACTATCTTCTATTGCCTGTCGTGGATAACTGTCTCGAAATCAGCATGGTTGGACTTCACCAGTCATAACTTCTCACCAGTGAGCACAGGATTATTGTTGCTACACGGATTTTGTGGAAATTGATGAATAATCGCAGATGACATTTAGATGCACAGTTTGAGTAAGATGAAAAATACATGAAGTATCCCACTTAATAAGAATGTTTACACAAGATACCGATTAGCTCGAAGGTGCTTTAAACATTTCACAGTCTTTCTGAGTTTTGAGGAAACAAATAGTATCACTACTGTATTTCCAGACCATTCATAACTTTGACAACGAAATGCTCACTACTAACAATAATAAACTATCTGCTCATGAGTAAAAACTCTCAGTAAACCTACTGCAACCAATGATCTTATCTTCATTAAATTATCGCGCTGAATTTTCGAAGATTCTCGTAATTCAGCGTTTTCTTTTTTTAATTGGTCAATCTCTTCATTAGCAGCTTGAAGACGAGATTGAATGTCTTTCATCTAGACATGAACAAACAAGGAGAAGACATTAGTAAGTACGTGAATAGACTAGTAAAGATGGTTGGTATTTCCTTACAAATGTTTTTGCAACAAGGAATGATAAACTGAGAATGGAATAAAGGGGTTTAATTAAGAGAATAATAAATCGAGTGATTAGAATGGGAATCTGTGTCGTTTGGTGTGCCTGAAATGTGTCAGACATGTCCAGCCATCAACTGTACGACACTTGAGTAGATTGAGAAGAAGTTTAATATGATTGGACCAATGAATAGCATCTGCCACTGACTGTTAGGCTGAGACTGTATTGGATGAGAAAGATATCATTTTTCAGAGTTTCGCATCAAAAACGATACCTATGAATGAACACCATAAATTTGAAATCAATCACAATGGAACAGATGTAGTTGTTCTGTTCTCTTCTCCGTCAAATCTTGGTATTTTAATATTACTTCATAGTTACTGTTGTGGTATTTCACTTGTCTTATTCAACAGCATTTATTATTAATTTCAAAGACCGTGTTTACATTTAGATAATTTTTTCACTTCCTCAGCTGAAATGAAGTATGACATCTTAGAAAGATGCATTCACGTTTGCCAGCCGATTACATGCAGTTGATTATGAATACAGCACCAAACCTAAGTGGTGGTGGGTGATGATGATGATGACCAACCTCGAGCACTACTTTAAACGATAGTCACGTACTATCAGGACACTTTATGTTTAACTTTTACCAAGAATTAGGAAAGATATTAAAAACACGTGAGGATAACTACCAAAGGTGTGATATTAGGACAAAGCTGTCGAAAATGAAAGAATGCGTTCTCCTAAATTATAAAGTTGTTTCAACCATGGAGAAGCATGATTATCTAAGAATTTGGTAATGAGAAATTAATTCAAAGTACTTTCTATTACACTAGCAACTGCATAGCCTAATGGGTATCTACATAAACATGTAGATTAGGATGTGACACAGTAGTTTATATGATGTTGGGGGACAATGTATGAGTTTTGCTCTCTTAGTGGTGGTGAGACGTCATTTACAATGACATCTTTATCTTTCCATTCCACCCTATTGCTATATACTACTTATCAATATTCAGTAACCCATTTCATTTCCAATAACTTTTGGAAGTATAATGGGACATGCGTCTGCAATCATAACGTTCTTGAGAATTTACATAAACTGATGACATTCAGTCCATTGATTATGGTAACTATATCTTCGTGACATTTGGAATAGATATTTTTACTCCGATTGTTTCTGTTAAACCTTATCATACTGTAAAAGATTCCATACTTTGGTGTTCTTCGTTCTTACTTTGAGACTCTACCATTGTAAATTAGACACAGATAATAGCTGTCACATATCGTACGGTATTATGAATAACTGCGTACAAACTTGCCAGACACTTCATGAGTTCGGGCTATCAATGCACTTCATATGATTTCGTAATAATAGTATCGTCTTTCCAGTTAATAACTCCGTTTGTACCTATTTTAGGGTTACTGCCGATCCCAAACATGCTTAAACGGGTCAACAACCCCATCCCATAGAAAACAACTTTGCTAAAAATACGCCAACATAAACAAACAAATTAAACCATTCAAACAATATCCTCCTAGTTCAAGGAAGAATTATGAAATCTCATGGTTAAATCCAACATTCTTTGGAAGTCACAAAGCTGATGTCCCTTCTAACAACCACAGCAACAAATAATATAGGAACATGGAACGTTCGGACAATGTGGGAGACCGGAAGTATTAGTAAAATATTTGTGGATCCTCGAAGATACAACTTGACGGTTTTCGGAACCAGTGCAAAACAATGAACACAAGCTGGACAGAAAAAGCTGGAAACGGGAGAGATACCTCTGTACTCCAGTCACGAAGAACATAATTCCCTCAACACTCAGGGAATCGCTCTGATGCTGTCAAAAGAAGTACGTAATGCATTTATAGGACGGGTTTCTCAAGGATCCAGAATAATCAAAATGTCCTTCAAAACAAAGAAGGAGGGAATCACAATGAATTTTATCCAAGGATATGCACACACCGATCATTGCAACAACGACCATAAAGATCAGTTCTATGAGAGGCTGCAATCAATCATAGCGAAGCGCCTTAGAAAGGATCACACCATCCCGACAGTAGACCTAAACACCAAAGTCGGAATAGATAACACTGGATATGGAAATATCCTGGGACGAAATAGACTGGGAGAGAGAAACGAAACTTTTGAATTCAACAAAATGGTCATAAGCGGTACTATATTCATGCATAAACGCATACACAAAGCTACATGGGTCTCACCGGATCACACCACACAGAACCAGATTGACCATATTTGTATCAATAAAAAATTCACAATATCAATGGAAGACATAACATCAAGCAGAGAGGTTGATGTTATCAGATCACCACCTACTTGTAACCAAGAGAAAACTGAAGTTAACGAAATGCTTGACAACTGGAGAAGGACAATTACAAAGGTTCAATAGAGCCTTCCCTCGACATACTGACAAAATCAAACAATTCAACAAAGCTCTGGTTTAGTAGGATCAGACTACGATGGAGGATAACTGGAAACGGATCAAAGAAGCATTAACTTCAACGTGTCAGCTGGTTCTGGATCACAAGAAGTATCATCATAATCAATGGATCACTATTGAAACCCTGGACAAGATTCAAGAACGGAAGAACAAAAAGACAGAAATCAACAACAGCTGAACAAGGACAGAGACAGTGAAGGCACAAGCTGAATGCACAGAAACAAACAACCGATTGGAAATGAACATTAGGGCTGACAATCAGAAACACATAGAAGATCTGACAACTACAGCTTCAACATAAAGAAATATCGGACAACTATATGACAAAGTGAAGGAACTGGCACGGAAATGTAGTAAACCAGGGAGACCGTTTCAGAACAGAGAAGGCAACCCCATCACTGAAATTCAAGGACAGAGGAACAGATGGGTGGAACACTTCAAGGAACTCTTCAATAGGCCAGCTCCATTGAGCCGATTGGAGATCGAAGCAGCACACACAGACCTTCCTGTGGATGTCACTCCATCAACGACCGAACAAATCAAGAGTGGGAAAGCAGAAGGACCTGTAAATATACCGGCTGGGACGCATTGTAGTGTCATTGATACTTCGTTCCGTTCGCCGATTTCTAGGCGATGTCGTGATCTCTTCAAACACAAGTTTTAAAATTATGCTAATCGAATTTATTTGTGTAGTCGCATACTGGATAACGCTCCCCTTCAACAAGGCACATATGGTATAGGATTTTTGCATCGACTTAAGAACTTCACAAATGGATTCGAGTACTGGTGTTTCAGTAGAAAACTTATCATTCCAACTTACATTCTCCTCAGATTTTCGTTTCTCTGCATTCAGTTGAGATTCCAATTCACATATTTGAGTTTCTAAATTAATCTTAGAAACTTCAGATGACGATGCCTATGAAATAAATAAAAAGAGCGAGAATAAGCAACGTAAATGGTAAACTTCGTTCGCTTTCAATTTTTTTTAAATTCACACCGTCATTCACTTCGCTGTCTGACAATGGTCGAACACGAACACCAACTTTCACACTTGTGTCCCCAATTCCCATTTGTACAGGGTACGGAAGTATCAAAGCGCTAAGAGCTGTTGACAGATAATAATATATTCCTAGCTATAGAAGTTCTTAAACAAAACTTTCAATGAAAAACAATAACATCAATCGGAATGTTTTTGGTACATAACAGAATAGAAGACATCATTTAGTGGCTACAAACTATCAGGAACATAGTAACTCATGAAAACTAAACATACCTAATTGTCGACGTTTAATAGGAAAGAATGCATTTATGTGAGAATTGAAGTAACAGAGAATTAAGTAACATTCCACTCGAGAAAGTTTAACTGCTGAAAAGTTTGTAAAACCTGAAGGAAATGTGAGCTCAAATTATGTGTAAAATATATTGAACATGGACTGTGCAAACACTCGGTTTTATAAATGACAGTTCTCTATATTTTTTAGGTCGGTTTTCAGTATTACGAAAAACCTGCTTTGTCTCAAAGCATTTACTAAAGAAGTTCGTGATCACAGCCAAAGTAAAATTAAAGCTTTCTAATAGAACATCACTAACATAAGAATGACAAACAAACATATACATGCAAGCTCTAACTTACTAAGGGGATAATTTGGCAGTTAAGGTATCCTACATTTACTTACCAGGTCACATATTTGTGCATCGCTCCACCTATTTCAGTTTGGGCAGCATTATAATACATCATACCTGAAGTGTGGCTTAAGGACGAATATATGAGCATGTACTCAAACGATGAAATTAAGACAACCGAACTCAAATTTGTGACCAAACACAAGACCACCTACTTTTTTGGTCATAATGTTAGGGGAAGAGGCACCATCCGCGTAGCTCAACTTACAAATATCTTTGGCCTAAACTAACTATTTCACCGACCTACTAGGCTATGTAACTTAGTGTGTATCGCGTTATAAATTCAATAAATAGGCGATCCAATGACTATGTGTGTGACAAAATATGATTATTTTGTAATTATGTGGCTTTTGTACGAAATAATGATTCTTTTGTTTTTTATAGTCCGCTGGTTATGAATTTCAAATGTAATATGTTCGTTTGTGCCCTTCTAGTTCTACTTGCTGTAAATTGCACCATTTCTGGAATTCTTAGTAAGCACGTCAATTAGAATAATTCTAACCATTATATCGACGTCGCGATGGATACTTTGATAGAATATTTGAATGTACATTCAATTCTGACGTTTTCGAAGATTACATGGAAAGGTCTGTAATCTGAAGCCTAACCAGGAAAGAAGTTAAGGATGATAAAATGACGGCTAATTTCAATGGGAAGGATGCTTATAGCTTATTATAAACTTTAGCATTCCCAGTTAAGACTGTTTCACATCTCTATGCAGCTATCAAAGAACTACTATAAAACCATGTAAAGTGTACTAATTTCTAATGCTGTGTAAAGGCGAAATTTCAAAAATGATTTACAGGATAACCAAAAGGTTAGAGAAATTACCCTTGAGTTGCAGATATAATCCCTTATGTGTGATTTTGGAGATCAACTGCATGTGCAGATGGGAGATCAATTAGATGCAGGAATTAACATACCAAATCAGGAAAGAAAGCTATTACAAATGCTGCAGCATTCCCTCCACGATGCTAGAACTGCGTGTATTAGTTGTGAGGCAGTGCATGTAATTGTTCTCCAGTTCATCAATAATCCCAGTACATTGCTTAGCTATCCTAATCCGATGAGTACCCAAGTTCATACAAATATGCGTTTAATTACCGATTATCCTCATCCTTGTGGAAACACTGATAAAATTATATTGGGGAGTTACAAAGCAGGTTACATAAGTGAGTACAGGTTCCGTAAATATTTATCCTGTGATAATTCTTTACTGCGTGATTCATGTGCCTTTCGTCATGCCAAATGCTTTGAGTGCGATAAAATGGCACACATCAAGTCCGTTTGTTAAACTGCTACTCATTTCGCCATAAATAATACCAATATTTACAAGCCCAATCCCATGAATTTGGATGATTCTAATAGGCATACGCAACCCTTATTTACTACTTCGAGTAATGCACTTCATTTTCAAAGACGAATGTATTTATCCAGTGTTGCTTTTCACGACTTTATGGTTGACACCGGCAGCATCGAGTCCACCATTTCTAATATGTCATACTTCATTTCAGCTGAGGAAGTGAAAAAATTATCTAAATGTAAACACGGTCTTTGAAATTAATAATAAATGCTGTTGAATGAGACAAGTGAAATACCACAACAGTAACTATGAAGTAATATTAAAATACCAAGATTTGACGGAGAAGAGAACAGAACACCTACATCTGTTCCATTGTGATTGATTTCAAATTTATGGTGTTCATTCATAGGTATCGTTTTTGATGCGAAACTCTGAAAAATGATATCTTTCTCATCCAATACAGTCTCAGCCTAACAGTCAGTGGCAGATGCTATTCATTGGTCCAATCATATTAAACTTCTTCTCAATCTACTCAAGTGTCATACAGTTGATGGCTGGACATGCCTGACACATTTCAGGCACACCAAACGACACAGATTCCCATTCTAATCACTCGATTTATTATTCTCTTAATTAAACCCCTTTATTCCACTCTCAGTTAATCACTCCTTGTTGCAAAAGCATTTGTAAGGAAATATCAACCACCTTTACTAGTCAATTCACGAATTTTTCATCTTACCCCAAGGAACTCCTACTCCTGAAGCGTTACAAATCACCTGGTCCAGCTGACTTACCTCCGGCTCTTTTTAAACAAGGTGGTGACTTTCTGACTAAGGAACTGACGGCGTTGTTTACAAAGGTTTGGGAGCTAGAGAGTGTGTCAACATCATGGATTGAGTCGATGGTTGTCCCTATCTTTAAAAAGGTTAACGTCGTTCCTGAAACAACTATCGGGGGTGAAGTCTACTTCCGATTGCGTCCAAGCTATTGGCTTCCATCATACTTCGTAGGTTGTTCAAAACTCGAGAATGATTGACTCGCTGGGAGCGGGCTGAGTTTCGTTCTGGTCGAGGATGTATTGATCATATCTTCACCCTCCGCCAAATGTTAGAACACCGCCATACTTATTAAAGGCCAACAATCGTAGTGTTTCTTGATATCAGGGCTGCCTTCGATTCGTTGGATAGGACTGTTCTCTGGGATTGTCTAATGAAGAAGGACGTGCCTCAGAAGTTTATTAACATCCTAAAAGCCCTATATACAAACACCTCAGGCAGAGTGAGGGCATACAACCATCTCTCTCCATTGTTCCATTCGAACAGTGGGGTTAGGCACGGTTGCCCAATCTTACCATTCCTCTTCAACTTTGCCATCGATGACATTCTGGAAGCAGCTCTGATGGATGTAAGTAATGGTGGTGTAGATCTGTTTCCTGGAGAAAGACTTCTCGACCTTGAGTATGCGGATGATATTGTCTTACTGTGCGATAATGCCCAAGGCATGCAATCCGCACTTAATCAGTTGGCAATCAGTGTCCGTAGGTATGGTATGTGCTTTGCACCTTCGAAGTGCAAAGTACTTCTATAAGACTGGCAGGATTCTAATCCTGCACTCACCCTGGATGATGAACAGATAGAAGTAGTCGAGAAGTTCGTGTATCTAGGTAGCTGCAAGAGTTAATACAGAACAAACGCCTACACTGTATACACAACCCTCGGTAATAATTGGATGTTTCTCCAGAACCAAGTATTACTAGTCGTAAGTTTCCCATTCTCGGTTGTTATGATTTGAAGTCACAATATTATATGCACCACCTTGTCGCATCGTAACAATCATCAATATATGATGAAGAACACACTTAGGCTAGAGATAGAATAATATATTTAATTAGAGTATAAGGTATGAGGTAACACTCAACAAGGACAACGCCAGCAAGTCCTAGCCATGCCATTTGATCAACTCGAATTAATTCAACTTATTCTTCCCGCATTCCTTATTGTTGGGTTTTTCTCCACGTTGAATATTGAATATCTATTTTCCCAATTTTACCGTGTTCAGCTTTCAGGATTTTGTAGTTAGGGCCCAATGCCACTTTAAATCCACGAACGTTTGAGATCTTCCATAAACCGCAACCTTATTTCTTTCATCAACATCTGAGGTAATAATGGTGGCGCAGAACGAAATCAGCTGTTTCATATGCTTTATCGGCGGCATATCTTGACGGGGGCTGGAAAAGGAAGTAAGACAAAGGAAGGACAAGAAACAAGATAGACGACGTTCATGCCTATTGAAATTGAGTCATATGTGGTGAAATAGTGAAGGTGTGACTACTAAGTTCCCATTATTAAGGCACTTTTTAAGCAAGAGCATTCTAATAGGTTGAAGAAAAAAATGTAAATATGGTTTGAATGGACAAACAACTGTATGAAGGGAGGGGGTTAGAAGAGAAGCTGAAAATATAGGATTATGTGTAGTTTTAGAATATAGTTCTGAAAAACATTTCTGATACACAAATGGGTATCTCCCTTTTTGTCGAAGCTATTTCAGCTCACTTTTATCTTTAGTGAGTTTATAGGCTCATTAGCACGCCTCATCTATAGTGAAATGTCCAGTTTTGCTTAGAATAGGATTGCTCGGTACGAAGTGAAACCAATTCAACGTCACTGTGGTGGAACAAAAAGTATATTAACCAAACATTAGCAATAAAATTATCACGTCCAAAAGTCAATATAACACTAATAATTTATAAATTAGTAACACAAAATAAAAGTTCAGAGACGTTACTTAAATCAGCTAGTTGTCGCGTATTCCGTTGAGTTTTTGTACCAAAATCCACAATTATAAATGAGTAATAACTCCGATGAGGTAAATATGACTCCAGTAAGTTTCCTTGACGTAGGATGTAATAGTAATGACACAACAGTCTAAAATGTGGATAATATTCGATTTAGAATGCAATTGGCTCGATAACGAGTGAGAATAGAATCAGGAGTGTGTGCGTAGTAGTGTATTTGCGAACAGCCACAAGTGTGTCACGCTATGTTAGTAACACAACGGAAAAAGTGCTCAAGGTCATTCACTAAA